GATGCCGTATTTAAGTTGTATGTATACATAACATATATGTATATATACGTATATATATATATAGTGTATATTTAATACTTAGCTTATGCATTAGGTTTTCAATTTCGGCTTTGTTCTTGCTGTGGTTGTTGTTTGGTTTTGTTTGTTTGTTTGGTTGTTTGTTTATGTTGTTCGGCCCTCACATTCCGCTACAAATGTTTTTCGATTTTTTCATTCTGTTTGCCATTCGTCTTTGTGTCTTCTAGTCCTTGTCCTAAAACACACTCAAACATGCTTAAATTTCTACAAAATATTTGCAATACTGCAGTCGATATCTATACTTTGTTTACTTTAGTTATTTGCTATTTACTTATCATATTTTACGTCTGTATATATATATCGATATCTGGTTTTATGCCATGTGTATCTGTGTGTGTGTGTGTTTACTCTGTGTCCTGTGTGGCCTGTGTCTGCGTGTCAGAGTGTCCTGTCCTCGTGTCGAATGCCTTTCAAAACTTTTCTGGTTTTAGCTTTCGTTTTTTTCTTTGATGTTTGTTTTGTTAGCAGCTTTTGGTTGTTTGCTCATCGTTTGATTTTTTCTACATTTGCATTTGATTTGTTTACAATCTTAGTGTAATTTTAATTGCATAACATGCCCTCGCCTCCTGCAATCCGTCGTTTGGTTTATTGCACAAATATATATCCTGGCCTGCCTGTCTGGATTAAATGGATTTAGCTTGGTTCCAACGGTGCTCGTGGCTAGTTTATTCGGATTTTTACTTTAATGACTAATATTTTCCTCTGCTCGATTTACAAATAATATTGGGTTTCCCCCACTGGAAATTATACAGTCCCCTTGCTCCGATGTGTGGGAAACACGCTCAGAACTCAGATGGATAGTATGCACTGCCATTTACCTAGAGGGTCGGTTTGCCTGCATGTAAATATATATGGTATAGAATATATATATATATCTATATATAATCTGTGTACTTGTTTGTAGCTTAGATAATACTTTATTTGATTGATTTTCGGTTTCGCCTTGCTGCAACTTGATCTCGTTAAAAATTTGTTTTCCGTTCGTTCCGGTTTCGGTTTAATTAATGCTATGTTATGTGCCACCGTTGTCGCGTTGCGTGTGGTAAAATTTAGCTAACTGCTCCTGTATCAGCATTCCAGTTAATTACACTTCGAATTGACTAATTGGTAATTGTAGTTTATGGTTAATAACTGCAATCGTTTTAGTGTGTGATGGCGGCCGGCTTTGAACTTTAACCAAATTAGTAACTCAAAGCGAACGACGCGGAATTGAATTATGTTTGACTAATGCCTGAAATGGACTCTTAACTGGTTTGATCGGAACAGAACCTGAGATGATGAGTGGCAATAATAATAATAATAATAATAGTAATAATAATAGTCATCGGGCCATATACTAGTGCAGCTAAAGATCGCTTTATGTATTTCCTTAAGACCGAATGCTTCTACCAGGGTTGCTGTTTGCTAGCTCCTCGGCTGATTCTGTGACGTGGGTTTCCTTGTGTATAAATACTTTGTATATATATATATATATAGACGTATATAAATGACTTAGCACATCTTGTTTAGTTACACAACATAAATACATACAATTACAGCTGTTAATCATATATTCTTTATATATCTTTTTAATATTATTTACTTCGTCGTCTTTGTCAGCTTGTTAGATCCGTTACGTTCCGCAGTTAATTCTTATTTATTTTCCAACTCTTCACTATTTCTACGTGCCAACTACCCATTTTAACTCTTTACTGATATGTAGCGCAAACATTAACAAACAAACCGATAATATTTTTTTGTTTTCTTTTTCCATTGCCTTAACTATAAACTGTTTCTTTTCTTACAAATGTTTGGTTTTTTCTTCATTGTTTTATTTTTTTCCTAGCCAAAATTTTGTTTCCTGCAAAACGGGTTTTGGTTGATTATTATTATTATTTTCATTCCCCTTTTTTCGTTTGGTCAACAACATTTCAATTAATTTTCTTTATGTTCTCGCTTAACACAATTTCTAGAAAATAAAATAACAACACAAAATGCATTTGTCAGCTTCAATTGCATCATGACGACCCAATCCCGCCCTCATTAAAATCACATCTACATCTAAGTCGCTTGCCTCGCGTCTCGTAGTTCCTCTAATTTCTAGTGCTAAAAACATTTAAATATATGTTACAGTACGACTGTCTCGCTACTGACTACGGTTACGTGTTCCGTTTTGTGTACGTGTCCTGTGATCCTCGGATCCTGGCTAAAAATTCGGTGATCATACTGAGTGAGCGCATTCTATCAACTAACACAGTGTGTGTGTGTATATGAGTGTGGGGGTATTATCGATAGACATTTACTGGTGTTCGGGCCACACCCACGTAGCTAAATGCTTGGCTCCGCTTTGCTGCGATAAATTCCACTAAAAAAATGACATAACAAACTCCATCCCGCTTCCTGCCAGTCGCCGGGGGATCGGGGGCGTGTCAAATGCAAATCAAGCGTTCGTCCTTTCTGGCATCATTGTCCGGTTCGTACGAGGACGAATTGCTGCGAGTTGCGAATGGCGATTGCGAATGCGATTACGTATGAGTATTGTATTGCTATTTCTATTACTTTGGAATTTTTTATTTCCTTTGTTTGTTTGTGGATGCCACCGCTTTAATTGGCTTCCATTTTGAACATCTAGTTGTGATTTATCATCGAACGCAGACAACACAATATACAATTAATATAATTTACCATACGATGCTCCCATTAGTTTTCCTCCTGCGCTGTGTGTGTGTGTGTCAGCGCTTGAGTGTCTCTGAGGAGGTGTGAGTGTGAGTATTTCCTATCAATACGGTTCGTCGAGAGTGTTTGTGAGTTATATATAAGCATGTTCGTTTAATGCATACGCTGTATACTCTATGTACTTATCAACCATCGCTATGTCTATGCTTTACCACTTTACATTTATATTTATATACTCTACACGTTAGTTTTATTCTTCGTACGACTATTTTTATGTTTCACATTAATGTACTGCCTCTCGAAACTCTGCCTGTCTGTCTGTGTCCTGGAGTCTGAATCCTGCAGAGTTCCTGCTCGATCTCCGTGTGTCACTGTGTGCGTGTGTCGTCTATAAGTTGATTAATGCTTTGCTGTTTAGGTATTGTGTCTGTGTCAGTTTCGCTCTGTCTGCGTATGCGTATGCGTATGGTGTGTGTCTGCGAGGGTCCTTTCTCTCACTGCCTCCTGGATACTCGTAATTCGTTAAACTGTCTCTGGCTGGGCTGCAAGTGTGTTTATTGGCTTATATGATTAGGCGATAATATCTACTTTATTACGGCTATGCTCGATTAGCTAATATCAATTAATATCATTCGATGGCATACTTTGATTGTTTTCAATATATTTTACTTGTGTCGGGAAGTTGTCCTCTCTCTATATGTTACCGTATTTATATATATATATATATACTTTTAGCTACTTGGATATTCTGTTTGGTTATCGGTTCGGTTTCAGTTTGGTTTGGGATGCATTTCCTTCTTATTTTTTATTTATCGATTTCACTATCGATTTCGCTCTCGTTTGGCCTAAACTACAGTGAACTAACACAACAAATTTGCAGCTAACCATTCCTCTTCTGGCAACTGAAATAAAACCATAAACGCATCATGTTATAACGAGAGTGAGTGTAAGTTTTTTTGTTTTGGTTTTCAGGGGGTAATTCTGGGCGATATTCGTTGGAGGGAAACATTTTTGAAACATTTTACGGTATATCGTGTTCGGGGCTGCTTTGTACATGGCTCTCGTCTGGATTTGTTGAAAGTGATGCGAAAATTTAGGTCGTTGTGTGAAATGGGGGTCGAGTTTTAAGCAAATTAAACACCTGCAATGAGGTCCTGCTTATTCCCGCCGAGCTAAGGGGGAGAGAGAGGGGGTGGCTGGACTCTGATCTTCCTGGACTTGTAGTTTGTATAATTGTACTCAGATACATTGAAGTTCGAACTGCGAGTGCTGTGAGACTGAGACTGAGACTGTGTTCGTGTTCGAGTGTTGCTTTTGCTGTGCGTGTGTGTAGGAACCTGTTTCGATTTTCGACTGCTGATCGATCACAAATCAAAAGACGATTGTTGCATCGGTGTGAGTGCGTGAACTTTCAGTTGCATTCGATAGGAAATGATAGCAGGACATGGCGAGTGGCCCGATTTTGGCAGTTGTTTCTAAGCGATATATTCACTAAAATATCCACGTCATCTATCATAGTTATAGGCACTAGTGCTATGTGAGTGTCAGCGTTTTTGGGTGTGGGTGAGGCTGGGGCGTTGGGCTCTGAGCTAGTGTGTGTGTGTGCTAAGCAAGAACCAAACTGCGCACAAAAGTAGGCAATACAAAATGATACGGGTTCAGTTGTGTGAAGGATGAAGGGGTGAGTGTGGTTGAAGCGCTATTTGTTTGCCCGTCTACCAACACACGCACACGCACACACACAAGTTCAAATATTTCCGCATGTGTGTGTGTGCGCGCGTAATTAATTTTAACGCATTTTTAATTATGTTTATTTTAATTTAATGTCGCGACTGTGGGAATATGTGAGTGTTTGACTTAGGCTGCTACAACCCTCTCGATTCGTGTCCTCCCTGGACCAAATTGTATTCCCCATTTTTTTTTATTTGCATACGCCATGTTGGCCTACTTCCTTCAATTAATTATTGTTATTAATCTTTTTTTTTATATACGCGCCGTACTCCCACACATTTACATAAAGCATTAAAATATGTTTGCGGGATGTGTGTGTGTGACGATGTTTTTGTGTCTGTGTCTGTGTGCTGGTGTTGTGGTGTAAGCAACTAGGGTTTAAAATATTTTGTTAGCCTTCTTAACTTTTTGCATATACATAATAATTGTTTGCCTGGTCTGGGCCCGGTCTTAGCCGACGGGGGCGCTGACAGATATCTATGCTCTAGTTATATATTTAGATATATAATTAGTGTGTATATATATATATTAATATGGGTGTGTGTCGTGGTTGTGTTTAATTTTCATTTAGCTTTGGTTAGGGTTTCGCATTCGCTGTTGCTTTTGTCTGGCTTTGCTTTTGCTTGTTTCTGGGGTGTGCAGCTCTCTAAAATCGCCAAAACTTCGAGTTGCCATCAATTGTTTTGCAATTTGTGTGTCTGCGCTTCGCATTGTATTTACAGCTCGATTTGGTTTTGTTTCTGTTTCAGAAAATTGCAGCTGTACTTAAAAATTTTGGTTTGGATTTCGGTATTTGGCATTTTGCGTTTACTGTGCCTGCAAGAGTAAAGGATAAACCTTAAAAAATAATATGGGTGTTAGTAAGAATTGGAAAAAAGTAGTAGTCGGAATAAAAGTAATTGTAATGCAGAAAAACTGTGTGCAACACGGGAGGATTTAGCCCCCCTTTACAACAACATATGTATATTTGTAAGGCAATAATAAATTCGGCGACCATTCACAGAGTTTGGAATTATGCGAGCACACACATATGAGATTAACAAATAAAGCGCACAAACAAATTGGCAAACACTATTCACGCACAATGAGCACTCAAAGGATAATGCTGATATATATCTATATATAAGTTTAGCCATTGCATATGGCATCGAATTTATGATAGCAAAGGTAATTAAGCAATTCATGCAATGTAAACACAAGCTTTGGGCAAAACCCTTAATATTTTACTAAAGAAAAAATAGAAAAAAACAAAACAGGCAAGTCTAAATAAATGTTCATAAACAATCATGTTTATTTTAATATTCGATATTCAATTCTTTCAGTCCGCCTTCCTTTGGCGGGCGCTTATTTAATCAAAAAAACATGCATGCATATTGACAGATTACAATTGTCTCTGCCCACATTCGATATTCAAATGCAAAAGAATAACATTAGCAGGCGAAAGGCATACGGATGGCGATGGAAAATTTTGATAGCAGCCGGAAATATGTACGCATATCAAGTGCACACACAGCTGCAGAACAAACAAACCCATCGCACACACTAACGAACCAAACGAATCGAATCGAATCGAATCGAACTCGACTCGCATCGAATAAAAGAATCCAAAATACATTCAAAACTTTCAACAAACGCAGGAGAGATGCACGAAAAATGTTTCAATGTGTCGGACGGGCAGCGTTCACGAGTATCTGTGTATCTGAACCCGTGCCGCGTATCTGTATCTGTATCTGCTTCTCTTACTGAGCATATATCTTCTGGGGGACACGTACCTGTGGGCTCACTTGGAACTGCTGTATCGGATAGGCCACCACACCGGCGGCCTGCGGAATGGCAGTGCCAGCCACGCCCGTTGCCATCTGCTGGGCAGGTGAGATCTGTGCCTGGGTGACGCCCTGCCAGGTGGCCGGAATCTGCACTCCCATACTAAAAAGAGAGTTGGGATAAACCATACATGAGCACAGGTAGAAAAAACACTTCAGATAAGTTAATTTAAATTTTAGTATTATTAATTATCCATACTCATAAATATTTGAACTCGAATTTCTAAATATTCTTAAATTTATTGTACAAATATCCCATTAGGGTTTCGAGTTTTTCCAAGTGCAGAACTGCTGCCACATTAACTACACTCGCTGATCCGTCCGTGGCAAGTCCCTGGAGCATGGTGTGCGCCACAATTACCACGGATGTAGGGAGGTGGGGAAATGGTGGCACCGACAGGAGAGGGACATACGAGTAATGGGAGTGGGGGACGGAAAACGAAATTTACGCGACTGCGATGCAAATAGCACGTTATGTTGACAGCCCGACGGACGCGGAAATGTATTTCATACGGCCGCAGATGAACGACGGTGCAAATGAAAAACTTTCGCAATTAGCAAATGAATTCAGCCATCCGTCATGCTGTCGTTGTCCTTGTCTGTGTTGGTATTGGTGTTGCTGTTGGTGTTGGTGTTGGTATTGGTGTCGCCTTTGGTGTGCAGTTGGTTCCTCTTTTTGTTTCTGCCGATCCCCGGTGGCGGTTCAATCATTGCATAAAGTACACAACTGAAGGGGTCGCAGTGAGTTTCTCTTTGTGTACAGACGGAAAAGTACTTTACTACTACGTATTCTTAAATAAAAAAAAATGTCCTAATTATTATTACTTTTTGAGAGTTATTTTGTTATTAGTCAGGAGGTTGTACAGCTGTTAAGGAATCATTTCCGAGCCTATAAATCATTCACATTCATATTCATATCATATTCTTGATCAGAATCGATCTAGGCACCTCCGGACAAACACAAAAATTTTCAAAATTTTTTTAAATTTTTTTAAGGGCTTACATTTATTTAATCAAAATTCAATTTAAAAATGGCCAAAATTTGAATGTTTTTAATACTAAATTGAGTATGCAGATTTTTTCACCTGATAAAAACTAACATAGCAAAGCTTTCCGAATTGAAATAATTGCTTTTTTGACTGAGTTCAGAGAATTTTAAACTTTGATTTGTTGTAAAAACCTTAAAGAGTACTACAAAATATTTTGTATTAATTTAATAATAATTAAATATTGAGCAGCTATTATAAATATATTACTTGTTAATTAAACATAAAATATTTAAAATATCAGCAATCACATTTCCCTCTGTGAACCATCAAAGCACTCATCACACCCACTCTTGCCCAGCAAATACAATTATCGAACACTAATTCAGTGCTAATAAGCTTCGACTCCATCCTTAATCCTACTCCATCCCGTACTCACCCCATGTAACCCTGCTGGTATCCGCCGTATTGTCCAAAGTGGTATCCCTGGATGCCCTGCAGGAACTGATTCTGCACGGCGGCTGCACTGGCCGCCGCTGGAGTCACAGCGGCCGCCGTGGCCGAGGAGGCCTGGTAGGTGGGCGTGGGTGAGTACCAGCAGCCCGTGGCGGCCAGCTGTTGGCCATAGGCAGCGGCAGCGGCTGTGGCCCCCAATCCGTACGGGAAGCCGGCGGCAGCGGCGGCGGCACTGTTCAGCGCCTGGGTGGCGATGGTCTGGGCATTGTTGGGGTCACCGCTCTCCTTGCCCCACGAGCACTTCACGGGCTGGGCATTGATCTCGGTGTTGTGAACACCCACGATTGCATGGGTGGCCGCTTCCTTGGTGGAGAAGCTGTAAAGGATAAATCATGATTTATCTCCAGGCAAAGATCTCTTTAAATGTTGTTATAATTTATTGACTTGAAACTTACCGCACAAAGGCATATCCCTTGTCCTTGAAAACGCGGATCTCCTGTATCGCCCCATAGGGGGCAAATGTCTTCTGGAGCACCTCCTCGCTGAGGGCGGTGAGGGCACTGTTGACGCCACCCACATACACGGTGCAATTGGAGGGACTGCTCTGATTGTAGACCTCGTCGAAGGTCAACGGCTTGATGTTCTCTGCGGGAGAGCAAAGCGGGGGAGTCCCCGGGTTACACACTACACTTTGATGGATCTCGTTTTAATGTTGCCGCCTCGTACGACAATTTATGGCCAGCAGTTTTTTCAGGCAAGGCTTGCCCTGGTTTTTATTCCCCAACTGCATGATTAATATGCAAATTAATTAACGGATTTACCCGCAACAACAACGCAACGAGAGCTGCCTCGGCAACGTTTTGGTAATTAAAATAACCGCATGCACTTAGTCAATATGCTTGTGTGCGTGCGGTTCCCACATACGTATGCATGAAGATGTGTTCGTGTGTAGGGCCTCGTGTGTGTGAGTGTGTGTAAGGAGGTGTGTTGTGTTGAGAGGGGGTGGCAACAGCATTTACCGCTGCTTTCTTGTTGTTGCTGCAACCGTTGCCGTTGCCGTTGCATATTTAAAATTGTTGCGGTTGTTATTGCATTTTTTATTATACGTATTTGGTGGATATACATTTTTCGTATGCCGTTTTATTGTCGCCATGCATACTTTTTGCACTCACTGTATGCTCAACCCACCGCATAAACATATACACTTACATGTGCATATACAGCAGTAATGGCCCGATCCAACCCCCATTGTCGTTGTCCTGATTGTCGTTCCGCATACGCCATGTATGCCCCATGTATTTGTATGCAAAAGCTACACTAATTACTTCCTTTGAGGTTAAAACTAAATTTGCACTTTTAAAAATAATGTCAGCTTCGCGTGTTTATGTCTTTGTTTAGTTTTCAGCCAGCATTTCTTTGCATTGTTTGGTCCTGCCTTGGGGCAGGATATGGATTAGACTCTAATGACAGCGGCCCAAAAGATGCATAGATCGATGTGTGGCATCTGGAGGGGGCTATTCATACGCTCTTTGAGTCAGTCGCAATTGTTTCAGCCCACTTAACATGGGCTGTTAATGGCAGCTAACCCACCACCCCGCTCTCCTTACTGGGTAGGCCATCAAAATACCATTGCAGGATGTCTGCATTTGTGTGGCTGCTTTTTGTTTTGCTTTCGACTGTGCAGCGAACATGCCAAGAAACACACAAAAATATGGCTCAATGACATGCAACAGGATTGCTATACACAAACACATATATACCCACACGCACAGATGCAGGATATACTGGCGCAAAACAGAATACTCAAAGAAACCAGGGTATTTAATAGCAAACTATTGTACCATTTATATATTAGAAAATTAAATAGTTTTAGGCTTTAGACTTTTTATATTCCTTAATTCAATTCCAAATCAAACTAAATTAAATAGATTCGAATTTAAATTAATAAAAATGGATTTGCATATTACTTGTATTCTTTTCGCAGGTCTCCTTTACTTTCCATTAATGCCTTTCTCAGTGAAGCTCATCAAAATAATTTCCCTTTAATTCGTTTTTGTTTTTCCAAGTGCACAATTTTTCTCACATACACACACAAACGCATTTGGGGGCTGAAACAACAATCAAAGCTCGGTGGCGAGGGTGCACCGAAAAAGGACGAAAAACTAACAAGCTCGCAAATACTTTTGAAAGCTTTTGCCACAAATGTATGCGCTTTGGCCACGCACACACACACACACTTGTACAGACTAAATAACAACCACAGCCAACACACTCGCCTCTCGCATGCAAAGGAACATTGCATACTTTGCAGCGCCATGTTTCACTAATTTGCACTCTACCTTGTGTTTGTGTGCCTCCATTTTTTCCCTGTATTATTTCCACTTTTTGTTTTCTCTAATTTCTTTTTACGCTATTAAATGGGTGTAATTAAATTTTGAAAATGCAGCCAACGAGCCGAGCCGCACGCCCTACGTGCTTAGCCTTGAGGCAACTCGGCCAACTTGGCCAACTTGGCCAGCTCTCGTTTCATGTCCGCAGCAAATTAAAGCACTTTCGGGTCCCATGTAAGTGCGCCAGCGTGGCCATAATTATCGCACATTTTTGTCTACGACAAACCATGTGCATTCCCATTGCCCAGGAACCCCGGGATACAGGACTCGGGACCAAGGACCCCGGACCCATACCCATACCCATTCGCATTTCATTCGTGGGGGCGTGCAGACACAAATAATTGAAGTCTGGTCAGCCAGAGGGCCATTATGGGGGCAAATAGCGAATGCCATGGCGGTGTTGGTAGTGCCACTGGCTGCCAGGTGCTCCCATTTTTCCCGACGATTTGAAATTTTAATGAGCAATTACAGGCATGTAAAACTAAATCATGAAATAATCACCAAATCATTAACATAAATAATTCACATTTTTACACGCAGCAAATGATGGTGGTGGCGGTGGCGAAAAACAACATGAGCCTTGAGGACGTGGTCGGCACTTGAGGAAATTCAAAAGTAATTAATATGCATGGAAATGCTCGTTTGGTGAGGGGGGCGTGGCTTTCACCAAGTGCCGAGTGCCACGAAGCGAGAGGGGGGCACATGTCTCGCATGGGCGTGGCAATGTGCTAATTTGAAAATGCACATATATATACTTTAAATAAATAAATGTTTTTAATCACTTTAATTGAGGGGTAGGAAAATCGAAGGGTTTTATCTATCACCAAACATTAATTTTCATTATAAGGCCTTAAATATATTTCATACAATTTTGTTGTACGAGAATATATTTAATTTGCTCATTTATATACCGAATATTTGATTAATTTATCACCAATTCTTATTTTATATACCCCAACACGCATCATTTAAATCTCTTTACTGCATTTTCGTTAAACATTCTCTCAGCTATCTATATTTTAAGCAATTTTCCCATCTATACGCATCCACAGACATTTAAACTTTTACTTAATTGTGCGCAACTCTGCATAAAATCTTGATTTATTGCGTCAACTGGCAACTCTCGGGTAACGAGGGGCATGTAACTCCGACTTCCGCAGGTATTTCCCTCCCAAAATGCCACACAGACCCCGCATTCCCGAGTTCAAAAAGTCAAATAGTTTTCGCAAAGAAATTTGTCATACAACATCGTCGACGTCTTTTGTGCGCCACTGTCGTCGGCATATTGTTTCTGGTTAATTAAGTTATTACCATAATGAGCTTGCAGGTATTCCGGGCCTTATTTATGGCCATGCACTGGAATAGAGTGAAGTTCGGCCGCTGACAAAAGGTGGAACTTTGTGAGAAAAACTTTCCCTTTTTCGGAAGGGAAAGAGGAGTAACCATAAAAAAGGGGGCCGCGCGCAAATGCGTTTGTTATAAACCCGGGGAAAATCGACAAAAGGACGCGACCGAGGAGGTGGAAACTTTTAGCCCGGCACGAAATTGCAGAGCGTCGCCAAAATTGTCACAACTGTAAAATGCGCAATTGCGCCGGATCGTAAATCTCTAGCAACAATGGGGCTGGCAGGGACATGCTGCTGGCCCCGGCACATGAGTGGCTCACTAAACGCGGACGGACATAAAATGTGCAGCCTGCTTAAAACATAAAAATGCCGGTCCAACTCGGTCTGGATTGCCAAAAGAATCGAGCAAAGTGGCTGCGTAAAACATGAAGTAATGCGAATGCCAAATGCGAAATGAGTTGAGTGCTACAAATCGTAAAGTTTGCCAGAAGCAGCAGCAGTAGCAACAACTAGGCGTGGCAGTAAAATCCAGGACCCCAAGGCTCCATCCCAATACACATCCTGCATATGTGAGCGAAACATAAATCCCTTTGGCCTGTCCCCTTGTCCCTTTTTTTTTTTGTGCCAACTCAGCCCCATCCAGTCCTCGAGGCGATCAAAAAATCAAAATTATTTCTCTGTCAAATTGCTAATAATAACTTGTATTACACAGGCTCCCCAAACTACTGCTCCCCGTAATTCGGCTTCAGAGCGCGGCATAGAATGGAACAGACAAAACCGTGACACAGTCAAATAAACAATGAGACCAATAAAAATACGCTTAAGCTTTCATAGGCGTTTTTTATGACAACAATATAAATGCAAAAGGGAAAATATTATATTCGAAAGAGCACCCGCCGAACCCTTGCCCAACTTTCGAGGCCTTTGCACGATAAATTCCACCTTGACTCAAACTATGTATAGTCTCCTGTCCCCCTGTCTGGGCTTGTGTGTGGGAGTTTGACTTGAAGAATGCCAAATGTTTGTTGTATAACCAGGGAAAATAACCCCCTGTCTCTGTGTGTGTGCCTTTTATGATAATAGTTTCGTGTTGGCCAAATTTATTTATCTGATTTTGGTTGGGTCCCAGTGTTCTCCGGTGTGTGTGTGTGTGTGTGTGTGTGTGTCTAACAAATAAAAATTATGTTAAAACATGCAAATATGCGTTAAGTTTTGATTTATGAAAGACAAAACGAGGGAAGCCCCGCGCATGTTTGTACGCTGTTAATAATGATTACGCCCCCGGGCTAAGTATATAGTTACGGTTACGGCTACAATCGGATGTCTGTGCGGTTGACAACGAAAACCAAAACCGAAAAAGGGCGAAAAGCGAAAAGGAACCCAAGCCGTGGCCATAAATTGATGGGGGGCGTGCCACGAGGCCTAAATGAAAATTGATTTGCTGGGCCTAATTGAATGCCTCTAGATGGTTTTTATGTATATACATATACATATTTATTTATTTTTTTGGGTCGGTGGCGCCTGGCGACTAATTGAAAAAGTTTAAACCAAATTGGGCTACAGCCCATTACGGAAATTAAGCGCGTGCGGTTAAGAAAGGACAAATATTAAGAAAACATAATCTGCCAGAAAATTTGTACGACGTTTATAAATAGCGCTGGGTTTTCCTGAATTTTCCACCCACCAACTCATCCCCCATTGCCGCATTTCGCAGCCTCCCTGGCACAATGCCTGTGTCGTCAGGCCACCTTTGGCATTCATTGCCATAATTTCCTGTAATAAGACCGACGCGTCGTCTGGCTCTGGCTCTGACTCTCAGGCTCAGGCTCAGGTCCTGGACTCCGCCGGGGTGTACGCACACCGGAAACTGTGCTGGCCTGCCGGCTGGGGTGACACTCATGATTTCCTTACCTTTACTCGCCGGCGGTTTCCGTGTGGCCCAATTCGTGCGAATTGAACGGGAGCCAAGCCACTGGCCATTCATGGCCGTAATGGCGCTCTCGGCTTCCTGCGGGGCGATAATGAAGACAGAGACACACAGTCAGAAGCAGAATCGGAATAAAGAAGGGTGCACAGAGAAAAAACTATCGATTCGGAAGTGTCATCTTCGTGAATTTTTATCATATTATTTTATTGAAAATTTAAAGCAAGAATAAAGTTTTACTTGACCAACTAACACACTTTAATATGCTGCAGAAATGACGTATTATTTAATACTTTAACTAGTTACCAAGCAAAGGATCAGTTTCTGTTTTTTTTAGGTACTAAATTAAGCTTCTTAAATCTCAAAAAATGGAACTAAAAACGTTTATTGTTAGAGTGTGATTGAAGCAAGAACTGTTATTATTGTAAACACATAAATATTTGTATATTTTATTTCTCCTAAGCTTCTTTAAACTGATTGCTTGTAATAAGTCTTTCAACTTTGATCTAAACCATATACACAAAAGGCTTAATTTTTTCTCTGTGCATTTCCAAAGTCACAATAAAGAGCCTGCGCACGACTGCATAAATATGCACTTAAATATGCTAATGCCGCTGGCAGTTCTTACCGATTTCTTGATGAAGGACACAAAGCCATAGCCCTTCGACTTCAGGGTTTGTGGATCGCGCACCACGCGGCAGTCACTGAAAAGAGAAAAAAAATAAAATTAAGAAAAGAACACGAAATGTAAACATTAAAAGCCTGCAACTGAGTTTCTCAAGTCTTTTCAAGTATTTTTGCGGCCGCCAAGCAAGCCACCCTATGTTCCGTACGGAAATGCTCTGGAAAACTTTAAAATTTATGCAAATTCCTCATAAAGACATCTCTGGGGGTCCCCAAGACCGGTCTTTGTCTCCGTCTGCCCGACGACGTGTTCAAATATTTCCCTTCGAGTACAAAATACAAATATATTCCGTCTGAGTTTGCCGGCGTGGGCGTGGCTCCTTGTAATTCGGAAATTAGAAATCTGACCTCATGCTGGAAAGTTTTTTATTTATCTTGCAGTTCGGGGAAGCTCTCCGAGCTGCCAAGAAGCCATGCGGCTTAAATGCGACTCATCTCATCTCATGTCCGGACTTTAAGATAACGACAAAGTTTTGATGAATTTTTATTTTATCCCCACCACTGAGTTGATCTTCCGTGACTCGCCTCCTTTGGAAATCGAACTGCGGTCATTACATCAAGGGTTCGGGTTCGTTTTGGTCACTTGTGCCAATTGGTCAACTTCCGACTCCGACTTCTAGTCGGGGGACTCCAATTGATTTCCCCCCAGCGGCTCTACGACTTCTCATTTGGACAATTGGGGCCTCGACACCAACACCGCACTAAACCAAGCTGCCAGGAAACTTTGGCAATTACCCCCGGTCCGGCAGTTTACTTTTCATTTATGAAGCATAAACCACAGCGGCGGCAAAGTTGGCGACGCTGGACGGCCACTTTTTTTATGATTATTATAAGTAAAATGCCGGGAGACCCGCCGGGGTTTGGCTCCAGCTCAGGCTTTGGCTTTTGGGGGGTTTGTTGCCAGGACTTATTAAATATTCACACGCGCCGCGCATTTAACAAAACGAAACAAAAGTGCGTCGGGGCCCAAACATAATGCCAAAACCAGGCAACACCAAAAGCCGGGCAACAATGCAAAAAAAATAACACAAAAATAAGGAACGGAAACCAAGAGCCAAAAAAAAAAGGAAAACAACCAAGAAAAAGGGCAAACAAGGCCAGGCACGCATAAAAGTTTTGACAGGCGGAGAGGGGACATCTTGATCCCTGGGAGCCGCACGACCGAATCCTGCCGACTTTGTGCGTTAAGCGTTTTGACATGTCGGCTAGCAGATCGACTCGGGGCCCCCAAAGAAAAACCAAAGAAATAAAGTTCTTTAAGCCAGCAGCAACCGGAGGCATTTTCCACCTTTCTCAGACCACCAAACAACCCGAAGCATTCCGTTGCCGGTAGATAATCAGACATCGAAGGAGGAGTGGAGTATCGGTGATAATGATGTCAGCGATAGCTATCACAAAGGTGCCAATCGATTGCTCAATAGGCCTGAAATGCGTAGCCATCGAAACAGGATGTCAACAGTCAGTGATGGAATGGTATTAGATTACCAGTTTAAATATAGTCATATGATTTGTATAAGATTAAAATGGAAGTTATGAGAGCTTCAAGACTGGCTTTAAACCAGCAAATCTCTTACTTATCCTGTAAATTTAAAATCTAATCTTTATTTAACAAACTTTAAGAGCTGGTCATCACTGACTTGCTTCTCCCAGAGATTCAATCCAAAAACATGACCAGCTCATTAACGAATCAGACGAACCCTTTAGCCCAATCAGGGCCAGAGTCATTAGAATGATTTTTGAAATTATTAAAATTTAAATTGGCCATCGGCGGGAAGATGAAGCTGAGCAGATTGGTTGATGGACTGACTGACTGGATTCAGAGAAGCGGCAAATCCGAAAATCAAATACTTTGGCGTAATTTTTGATAAGCCGCCGCAGGGCCTCCCTTTGCTGAGAGCTGGAAGCTGGAGAAGAGGAGCTGCTTGCTCCCAAGAGACGGACTAACATTTTGACTCGAAACTTTGCGATTAAACAGAAGTTAATTAAGCCAAGTTTTTGATGCTGTCGTTGCCACGGGTGAGGCGGTAAGTGGTTGTGGGTGGGCTAGTGACTTTGCCTTTTCAAGCCGAAAAATAGCAACTTAAATATTTGAATGGCTCCACTTCGCTTCCGCTACAGACAGAGAAAAAAGAGTTTTGCCGAAAGTGGCATTTGCATAAATTCATTTTTTCCTGTGCCGCTCGGTTATGAATTTTTTATGGGAAAGCCGGAGCCTCCACACGCGCCTGCCAATAATCAGGGAATGTGTGACAGGAAAATTGTCGCAAGGGAAAGTGGGAAATGGTAACAAAGTAACGAGGGGCGGGGAGAAATAAAAGCTGCAGAATGGAGAACGGGTGAAAGGCAATTCCCAGTTAACTGGGAAATGGAAAATTTGCATTTTAATACTTACGAGATTTCGCCGAATGGTGTGAATGCTTCGCGCAATTGCTGAGTTTCAATTTCTGAGCTCAAGTCGCCGACAAAGATGTGGAATTGTTCTGCAAAAAAAAGAGAAGAAGGAAAGAGTGAGTGCCAAGTTGAGTATCGGGGTTTTTTTCGCAGATTTTCACAGATTTTCGTCGAAGGGTTTGTGCCGCTGGCGCATCGTGAATCGCACAAAATATGTGCCAGATAAAAACGCAAATCAAAAGAGAATCCCAAGTCATGCGCTTTTATTTCGCAATTTATTGCCAGCGCTGACGCAGTGCTTTAATGCATATTCCCCCCAAAAAAAAAACGAGAGCGGAAAAAAGTCAAGTCCCAGGGAGAAAGAAGTTTTTCATATATAATTTTATGCTGCATAAGCAGAGATAAGTTAATTGAAATCACAAAGGAGCCGCGCAGATTGATGGGTTCAAAGAATGGCTGCCTGGCGGGAAGCGATGACAAAACTTGCCGAGTCTTCAACGGACTCTGTATTAGTTTTCAAAAGCGTCGCACAAGACTTTCCCAACTCTGTGTGTGTGCTTTTCTGCTCAGCGCCTCAGCCCCATGAACCCCTCACCTATGCATGTATCTACTAACCCCGCGAAGAACGTTCCCATTAATACTAATTAACCCATTCATCTAAGTAAACTTTGCGCGCTCGGATCTCCTGGCCCCATCATCAAGCCGAACATCATGTACATTCATATGCACAAACTCAAAGCAGCTCGCCGTCATGCAGACTGCACAAACACAAGTGCACCGGGTGACGGTGCAGGATACTCAAACCACACACTCAGAACACCCATCATACACTCGAGAAATTATATATGCAAACGAAAAGGCTTGCAGTTTGAAATTTAATTAAAGAATCGCACGGTAATCGCACATAACTAAGCTTAAAAAATATGCAATCTTGGAATATATATTTTTCTATGAGAATTTCAACGACAAATCAATGTTTCAAAGACTCATAACTAAGCCAAAACAGCATAAATTTTAATTCGGTAAACTTTTCTATGCTAGTTTTTGTTAGGTTAATAAATCTGCGTACTCAATTTAACGTTTTTAAATATTAAAATTTTTGTTGATTTTTTTTTGTGGCAATTTTGACGAATTAAGCCCAAAAAATATTTGGAAAAATTTTTAAATTTTATTTTTGGTCTAAGATGGCTAGATCGACTCGTCTTTTGATGCTGATCAAGAATATATATGATTTATAGGGCCGGAAATGACTCCTTCACTGCTTTTTAAGCTTCTGACTTAAATAAATAATATCATAAAATCGAATGCAACTCTTTAAAATATTATGAAAGAATTCTTTAATAAACAACTAAAATAGTATTTCAAAATCATTATGCATAAAGGAATTCAAGTATTTTTAGCATATTTTGATTTAAAATGAGACCTAATTCAATCCAAAACCCAAGTAATTACTATTCTTAGAGTGTAAACTATACACATTGCACTCTCATACAGTTGCAAAACTCATATGCAAAGCAAACACACTCAGACCAACACACCCGCACGAATTGCAATCATTTATTATTATTTTTGTGTGCTTTGTCTCTTTGGCACAGAAAAAAAGAAACTGTCGCGACAGAGTAGAAACTAAGGGGGCCGAAAGGGTTAAGAATGGGGAGGGAAATGCTGGGGTGGTACCTTGGATGGCATTGGCGGTGCTGCTTCCATCGTTGCCGTTGTCCTTCGTGCGCTCTTGTGGCAGCTCAGCAGCGCTGAGCTCCGAAAACTCACAGCCAAGACTTGGCAAAGGCAAAGGCAAAGCCAAAGCTACAGCTAAAGCCCGGCGACGCACGTGGGGTGGTAATGGGTTAAGGGCCAATGCAATGGGGGCCTTTTTTGGGGCGGGTTGGTTTTCCCAGCCACCGGCGACCTGCTCCACCCTCCCATACAAGCACACAGAGAATTCTTACCCTAAATAATTAGCACTATTCAGCTGGGGCCCACTGACGACGAGAACGACAACGACGACGACATTCGAGGCTGACATCGCCGATGGGCGCGGCTGATGGGCGGCCAAAACCCCCCAAAAACAACCCCTCATCATCCTTTTTCCTACCCCCTCCGGCCGACGGCCTTGCCTGCTGCACGTGCAGAAATTAACATTTCCGGTAATTTTGCGAAAATGAAAAGCAAAGCGAAAAATTAACGGCTACGTCGTAGTCGTCGTCGTGGCCGCAGCGAAGGCAAAATGCGAAATGCGGAAAGCTTTTGTGTTAAATAAATATTAAAAGGAATTTCCCAGAGCCAGCGGAACTGATGGAGACGTGGCAGGACCCACGGTGGCAGGATGAGGCGCCGGCTGAGTAAGTTGAATCGTTGTGATGTGCGGCCTGTTGGCCTTTTAAAAACACAAACCGAACGAGTAAATCTCTGCGTGTTCGCATTTACAAATGTACGCATTGGTGCAGTGAGGAAAATCGGGGAGGTTTGAAGACTAAATTAAAAACTATTCATGATTATTGAGGGTAAATACTGGCCACTAAGGAAGCTTAAAAAAATATTTCACTTACTCTCAATGAATTTATATATTTAGTAACCAAACTAAAACCAAACATTATATCGTTAAATATGTGTTTAAGGAATGCACATAGCTTAAGGCTTTCTTGGTGACATCTGATGGCCAAAAATCAAAAGATTTCCCAAGATCCTGTTGTTTAAAAATTATTTATTTATTGGAACATATTGTTATGACTCGTATAATGTAACATACCCATATCTAATTAGACTCCCCTTCAATCAATCGCATTTTTGCTCAGTGCTCATGTACGTGTGTGTGTGCGTGGCCACTTTTTATTTAATTGGAAATTGCGTATACGCCACCGTTAATGAGCCCATTGTAATCGCAGCGGCAGAGCAGAAGAGCGCGGCTTAGTCTACTGAGGCAGCTCGATTCAACTCAACTGAACTCGACTCGACTCGAGTGGTTGCCGTTATTGTAAATCAATCGTCGAGGTTCGCTCAGGTTATTGCTTTCACCCTTTTGCACATGGCCTGGCTCAAAGGAAAGAGCCAGGCACGCAACTTGCGAGCTACGAGAATTTGCGAGCATATATGTACATATATCCTTGGGATACAGTTAAGCCCGGCATGTGCGTGTGCTGCAATTGTGTCTGTGTATGAGTGCGGGACAGACAAACGAGGCGGCCACTAATTGCAGTCAAAGGCTGCTTTAAATTTGCACTATGCCAGAGGTCGATTGGCAGCTCACCGGGGGAGGAGAAGGTTGCCAGGAGGCCGCCTCCCTCAGATTCTTCGACTCTTGTGCCTTCACCTGCCCCAGCTCCTGGCAGCGGTGTCAGCATGTCAAGCGTTGGCAGCTTTTCATTTCTTTTGCTCGCTTCCGTTGTTCCTTGTTCCATTGGCCGTGTCGGCTCGTTGGCTGATTAAAACGTTGCGTATGTAATGAGTTAATTAAGTTTTTGCCATCGTTACAGTCACCCATTGTCGTTGTCGTTGTCTCGCAACACACACACACACACTTACAGCCATGTGTACATAAATTAATCATAAATCCATGCTAGCTGCACGGCAGTTACAAGTGTTTTGTATATTTGCCAAGAACGCACCTGTCCCCTTTCTGCTTGCCTGGCTTCTACTTCTGCGAGAGCGTTAACAACCAACTGAGCCAGGTGAGTGAGCCAGGTGAGTGAGCTAGCTGGGGATCGTGTGGAGTGGCCGGGGAGGAAAAAGAGCTGCTTGAAGGAGCCGGGGGGTTAGCAAGGAGTCGCCTTTGGACTAAGTGTGTCAGCAGGGTTGGCTGCCGCCTTCCGAATGCCTCCTGCCACGCCCACTTGTACCATTTGATTAAAGACGGAAGCTACTCAGGATGTATACACGTGTATGTGTGAACAGTGAGAGAAATAAGGAGTACTAAATAATACTAAAAATGAGTGATTAATATTCTCTTCTGGGGTTAAGTATTAAGAGAGCTAAATAATAGTTTCTTGGTTCACTTATTGATATGGTAGGTTGTTTTTCCTGATCTTTTGATGTCTGCGCTTAAAGTTCATTCCTTATATCAGATTATAGCTCATTTAATTTGCATTATTGATTTCCTAGTTATATAATTATTTTGCCCAGTGCACAACTATCCTATTTTACGCCTTGACTTGCCTGGGTGCTGCTTCCACTGTTGTGTTGGCTTTAGTTGTTGTAAATTTTATGTTATCCGCTTTCATTGTTTGTTTGCCTTTATTTATGTTCCACACTGTCTTTGGTGTGCCTGTGTGTGTGTGTGAGAGAGAGTTTACTGATTTGCCGCTGTTATTTATGCGTTTGTGCTAAACCTTATTTCCTGTTTGTCTTACATAAGCTGCAGCGCTTAATTACACGCAACCCCATCGAGGACACGATTCCGGCCAGGATGTGGCAGCCTGATTTTACCCCTGGGAGTAAAATTTTCGACCCGCGTCCAAGATATATGTGCCACCGATGTGGACCCAAATGTTTTATTGACCGGGCCGCCTGCAATCTCATTTGGCAATTCACTTTGTCGCTGCCTCGCTGCCTGGCTGCCTCCGACATACAGCATAACTGACCACACGGCGTATGCGTAATGGCAATTATGAACTCGCCGGCTAAGTGGTGGAGTGCATTAAAGCTAAAAGCGCTTAGCCGGCGGTCGAAAAACCACCAGCTGACCGACTGATACCGCCCGCTGTGACAGAGAAAGCCCCAAACAAGCAAAACAATTTGACGCCAACAACCGCAAAACGTGCTGGCCGCCCCAGCTTCCACATCCACATCCACAACCACATCGCCATCCCGGGCCGGATCCCAGGATCCCAGAGACCCGGGACCCGCCCACAACTTAACCCAAAAATTGATGAATATGTAAGCAAATACGGAAGACTAACACGCAGCGGGTTGCCAGGCAAATATACATATACGGATGCGTATATGCGTATATATATAAAAAAAAAAGGATCAAAGTCCTGAGGCGCGTTAATTTTCCCAGACGTCAGCAGGAAAAGTTGGGCAACCCATCAAGCCCCGACGGCCGACCTCGCTCGCTCCCCTTGAATATGAACCGGGCCCACAAATTATATTG